CAAAAATGGACTGCGTCATCAGATTTCAAAATTGCCACGTAATATTTATTTTAAAAAAATTAGAAAACCAATGACTTGTGTCAAAGCCACTACCCATCGTAAACAAGGATGCTTGTCTCAGAACCTTAGGAATGAATGGTGAAGGTCTTTAATTGAGCATCACTGCTTACCCGATCAAAAAATCGACATTTACTAAACCATAATATGATTTTTTATTTACTTTATATATTCATATTCTGATTATTTAATAAATCCTAAAATTTACTATGTAAAACAAATAAATATAGACTGTGTCGTCCATTTTAGAACAAGGTGATTTTATTATTTCGAAAAGATTTTGAATAGTGCATTCAAGAAAATTAATTTTATTCCAAATTAAATAACACAACCTTCACCCACTGGCATGCATAGAGTTATATCAAATAAATACATAACCACAAGATAGGATGCTAAACATAGTAGAAAAGCACACAAGCGGGGTGCTAAAGCATAAAAGTTTACATATTTATCGACGTCTTTCAAATAGGTATAAAATAAAGTTAGTAAATACATGCATGATCCTACATACAAGATCCTAATGCAAACTAAAGATCCGGCTTCTAATATATGACATGTGAATCATCTTAAAACATGAGGTAGTACATAAAATCACATAATAATCAATTAAACCCACAGATGCAAATTTAGCCGGATCTTAAGGCATAAAACATGGATGCAAAGCATGGATATAATAAGTAAAATAACATGCATATTTACAGAATATTAAAAGCAAAATAAAGAACGGAATAAAAAGAAGCGAGGTGGAAAATTATTACATATCTGAATAAGGGGGGAGATGAAAAATTTTACAACAAAAATTAAAACATCACAAACTCTCTCGAATTAACATAAAAATAGTAAAAACAGCAACTTCAGGGGTTCTCAAAAACCGTCGGAGACTATTCTGTTTGACATCGGAAGGCTACTGGAGTTTTGTCTAGGAGAATTTGGTCGGCCGGCCGGCCAATAAGGCTAGGCCAAACTCCGTTTTGCTTCAAACAGTAGAAAAACATACGGAAAATATGAAAGTGGCTCAACTAACCACTTCTAGTTAGCTTACAATAGGTTTATAACATGAAATCAAAGAAAGAAAAGCAACAGAAGAAAAAAAAAAAACAAGAAAGTAAAATTGTTTGAAAAGTATTTTCAAAAAACTAGAAACAAACCTGGCGAATGGTATGCTAATTGAACATTCCATATCACTATTCTTGTATTAGTCAAGTGATTTAAAAGTTGTATTTTTTTTTTTAAAGTAATCTAATGTAATTGATTTTGAATTTTTGTTTTTCAAACTAATGTCTTTGGATTTTTAGATTTTTAGTAAAGTAAAAAACTAAACAAGGGTAATTTTTAATTCATTAAAATGAAAGTGAAATGAAAAAAATACAACCATTCTATTTGAAATATTATTTTCATTTTTATAAAACGACTATTTACTTGCAATTGTATATAACAATTTCATTTCTAATTCAATTTTCATCAATTCTTTTAGTGAACCAAATGTAATAATAAATATATTTTTTATTGAATCCATATTACAATCTACATTCATTCTAATAAACTAAAATTTGGAAAATATTTTTTTTAAGTATATATAAATTATAAAATGATGGTGGTTATGACAACAATAGCAATGATAGTAGATGTAGGGGTGTTTTGGAAAGTGAATTAAAAGTCACTTTTCAGCTTTTAACCCACTTCCTCTCTCTAAAAAAAAAAAAATCAATTTTTAATTATCTTCTCAAAATACCCCGTAAAGGGATGTAGTGATTCTGGTAATAATGATGATAATAATAATGATAGTCAGTTCAAAAAAAAAAAGAAAAGATAATGATAATGATAGTGACAACAGTAATATAGTGGCAAATAATATTGGTACATGAAGTGATTGACAATAGTGATAAATGCAGTAATTTAATGAGAATGGTAGTAGTTGTAAAGGGATGGTGTTAGTGGTGGTGATTGGAGCCGTGATGGCAGTGACGACAATAATAGTAATAGTGGTAATGGCGGTGATAGTGATAGTAACAACGGTAAAAGGATGGTGATAATAACAATAGTGAGATTATAATGGTGTAAAACAATATTTTAGTTATAAGCAAGTTTTTAATTACTTTATTAGTTATTAATTTTTATTTTAAGATGTCTTAAATTTTTGAGTGAAACCAATTATACTGAATTTAAAAATAATAAAAAAAGAGCTTAAACTTTTAAAATTTACAAGAAAAATTTACTCATAAATCCCGAATGGGAGAATGTTGACATGTTTAGTCCTAAGAATTTTCTTGTGGTGGAAAGTTATATTTATTTGATTTGGTGTCATTTGAGTTAAGTAAATGCCCTTTTGTGATTCATTTTTCTATTTTTTTAATTCATTTTTGGGAAAAGTGAGGTGTGAAAGATTCTTTTTGAGGGGATTAGTAGTGTTGGTTATCGAGTGCGAAAATCTGTATTTCTATTAGTATAATTTTCTAATATTACATTGGAGTGTTATATTAAAGTGTTATATTTAAAAAAAGTATATTAAAAAGTTTTTTTTGTGTTAGATTGATTAGATCGTTACGTTTAAGTCAAATATACCAAAGATTTTTTTGGGAATGGTACGTTATTATGTTTGAGAAAAGTACATTAAAATTTTTTTTTGAAGTGTTAAATTGGAGTATTACGTTTTTTAAATTTTACATTAGAGTATTACGTTTGGAAAAAGTGCACTAATTTTTTTTTTGAAAGATTACGTTTAGTAATTTCAACGTTATGAGAAAACTTACATTTGTTTATCAACACATATCATGCACGTTTATATTTGGTCATATATGTAATTCATACTAGAAGGGAACATTTTGATCCATAAGAAAAAAATGGAGGACCACATAATGGGAAATTCTATTTACACACATAAAATTTTCTCACTCCACACACTTAATTAATCTTTTTTTATATTACTTTTTTGTCCTAAAATAAAAATACCAAAATATCCTCTTCTTTTCAACCGATATCCTAATTCGTTGGCCTTTTCCTTGACCACCCAATCATGCTTTCCACTTCCGGCAAACCTCCCCTATCGCTATTAACATTGCCACCATCATCCTCATTGCTCATTTCAACTCTGACGGTACTCCCTGCCATCTCTACAGTCTCCTCTGTCATTCGAACTTGAAAATATTTCTTTTTATAATGGAGTGAATTCAAGTGCATAGATTAGTGACCTAGAAAACTTAAGACTGGCCATTTTTATTTTATCCATTTAAGGAAATATAAACTGAAGTATGGTGTTTATGCAAATAACAGTTACATGGAGAGGAAATTTTTGTGACTTTTGTAATTTACTTATTTAATCAATCTTCTTATCTAAAGGGAATGATTTAATAAATCTCACGAATTGTTTTGTTTAATGAATTGAATACATAGCCATCAAACTACAATTTGATACCATGAGATGAGTTAGAATGGTGTGTGAAGGGTTGGTAATGGTGGCCGGTGAGGGTGGAGGGATGAGAATTGCGATGACGGCTTAAATTTTCAGCAGAGGAGGCAATAGTTGGTCGGCGGACAGTAAATAAAGAATGGTGAAAGTTATGGTTAGGATTAGGGTTTGAAGAAGGAATGAGATGATGACATTTTTGGTATAATAAGTTGTATATTGAGTAAAAAATGAGATTTCAAATTCATTAAGCGTGTATTTTGAGAAATCATGTGCACAGAGAAGATTTGGTGTGTAGAGATAGAAACTATCCCAAATAATTCATAAAATCACTACTTATGATTTATTGGTGCTTCATCAAATTTACAAATGAGAAAAGTAAAAACAATAAAAAATAAAATAAAATCACACAAGACAAAAATAAATAAATAAATAAATATTTTGTTTGACTTTTTATGTATTTTTATGTTTTTAGTATTATATATATATATATATATATAAATATTCTACATTAAACGAATTAGAAAAGTAAAAATTTTGTATCTAAATTTAAAAAAATAATAAAAATCACTAAAGTTATTTTTAAAAAAAAGTAAGCCTAGAGCTAGAGCAGGGGAGAGTTTTATTGGATATTCAAAGCCCCAGCAAAAGGAGTTGATTTACATCTCTCTCGCTCTGGCTCTGGCTCTGGCTCTCGCTCTCGCTCTCAGAGGTCTGTCTCTTTATAGTTCGAATCTTTCGGAACAGTGAAGATGCAGCTGACCCTTGAATTCGGGTAATTTTGTTTTTGTTTTAGTTTTTGTTTTTGGTTTTGGTTTTGGTTTTTGAATCTACCTGTAGTATATAGGTAGTAGTACATGATAATATAATTTTTGCTTGATTCTGAAGCTATCATAGTATCCCAATTCAATTAAAACAATGAATTTGTTGTTATACTTTGATTGCTTTTCCTTCTTACCCTCGCTTTCATTTCATTTGCGGTTTGTTGCTGCTTCTTGTTATTTTTGTTAGTACTTGCTTGCTGGCATTACTGTCTACAATTTATACAATTATACTTTGATGATATGTACATCAGCCTATGTATTAGTGTGTGTGTATATATATATATATCAATTGTTATTTGTTGCCCTTATGAGAAAATAACGATAATAGTATGCAAATATCATAATAGAATAAGATTGTGAAGTGTATATTGAATTCAAAATCTGAAAATTAAAACATTCCATAAATCTGAAAAGACCAAAAGTTGAGAGATTTGAAAAAAAAAAAAATTTGAAAAAAAAAAAAAAAAAAAAAAAGGAAAGGAAAAGAAAAAGAAAAAACAAACTGAATATAACTACCCATGTAACTATTATTAGGGTATTTTAGGAAAATACAAAAATTAAAACATCAACACCAACTCTAGTCTTCACTTTATATATTAGTAAAAAATAACGTTCAATTAGTATACATTAGTATGCACTTTACATATTAGTATAGATATTTCCTTTTAATTTTGTTTTTATATTTTTTATTTTTTTGGTACATTGATTTTGGCTAACTGAACTAGCCTAGTTGGTTAAATTAAAATAGTTTGAGGTGAATAGAAGAAGTGGAATCTACGTGACACGAGCATCACATCTTGTAAGGGAACACTTCATACACTAAGCCAACCCTTACATTTTCCATTTATCATCAATTGTAAACACATGGATTACTTATAAAAAAGGAAATCTAGAATGGAGATATATGTAGCATATGTGTTTAGGATTAGTAGTGGAGGCTTATAAGCATACATGTTGATGCCTTTATGGTGTTGGATTTTATTTATTTTTTAATTCTATTGGACCCAGAGGTATTTCATGGAGATGAAATTAGTTGCTGGGAGTCTCTTGATTGGCTACTGTAATTGCTTTGAGCTTGGTGGCTAAAATTTTGTGTGGTCATGTATGCACCAGGATTTTTGACTTAAAAACAGACTGGAAGCTGAATTAGACAACGTCATTTTTGAAAACTAGAGTAAATGGGTAATGCCAAGAGCTTTAGCCAAAGATGTTAAGTTAAGCAAGGATGAGACTTAATATGTTTGGGATTCAACTTTTGTAAAGTAGTTGTAAACTTAGACAGGTGAAAATTTAGTCTGAAGTAATGAAGATGGGTATAAGTGGCTGCTTTTGATAAATTGGAGAAGCCATCCCATATATGGAAGGGGTCAATAAAGAAGATGTTGCTCCTAGAAATAGATTAGGATGCCTTGAGTGGAGAACTGGTTTTGGGGTGTTTTGTGATTGTGCAAAACATTTTGGCCCCGTTTGTTTGGGGTTATAGGGAGGAGATTGGGATTACTAATCCCTTGGTATTACTAATGGGGTGTTTGTTTTGAGAGATGGAGAGGGGACTATTAATCCCTTGGTATTAGTAGTCTCCTTGGAAGGGGGATTGGTAAGGAGGAGATAGAGATGATATTAGAAAAATAGTGAGGGGATTAGAAATTTTTTATTTTTTATATATTGGAAATTTTTTTTAAATATTAGTGTTTAATTTTTTATATTTTTTTATTTGTTTTATTATTTTATATAAAAATAATTTAGCAATTCCTCACTATTAATCCCCTCACTATCAATCCCCTCACTATTAATCTCCTCACTATCAATCCCCTCACTATTAATCTTTTTACTATGAATTCCCTCCATTCTATCTCTAAAAACAAACGGAGCCTTTGTCCCATACCTATCATGTCCTCTCCTTTAGTGGACATGTCATTTGTTTATTGCCCCAATATTTTGGACCATAAAGTTTACGGGACAGTAATCTGAGATGTTTTGAGCTAATAAAGACCTTCATTGTTGAGGTGGACAGAGTGCAATCCTTAATGGAGCTTATAATATAAATATGCACACATTTTTCATATCTTTACTGTCTTTTCACCATACATCTGTCCAACCTTATGTTCAGAAGTGAATGGATCAATGATATTTTTATGGTGAAAGACGTGACATTCTAAGGACTTTCCATAAACTATATGCTATTTGTTTGTTGCAAGACCCAGTCTATTCCTACATTGCTGATTTAAGAAACTTATTTTAGCGGCCGTTCTCTTTTCTCTCACATGTATTCTTGACTTGATAAACTCTATTGTATTATTTATCTTCTATTTTGTTTTTCCTATTTGAAAATTTGATCCAGATTTTATTTGATCCAGTCTCAATTCAGTCTGGAAGGGCTGTATCTACCTGGCCGTTCTCCTTAGAGTTGATTCGACCTTAACCATCTTTCTTCTGTTTTCACTTCTACAGCTTTAATATTGCAAATTTCTCACAAGGAAAAAAACATGATTCAGCTGAAAGTTAAAAACAAAATGGAAAGTTGAAAATATTATGAGATGTATGATAGATTTGATTCCAAAAGAGGAGTTTTTTTTTTTTCCTCTGTATTTTGGTCAGATCCAATAGAGAAGCTAAGGCTTTGTTTGGTATAGCTCTGGAACGTTTTGAACATGATATTTGTTTAGGAGTTTCAAAACTTAATTCCACACTTACTTTTGAAAACTCAGTCAAATGAGGGAAAATTTGAGCTAACCGGTCGTCCCACCGGTCGTCCGGCCAGTTGACCGGAACAGTGTAAATATATATATATTGACATATGTTAATTTTTATATATTCGAAAAAAATATTTGTCTAATTTTTAAAAAAAATTTATGAGCTTTAATAGAATTTTGAGTTGTGTGTTTGGTTATGAGTTGTAAGTTTTTGTATTAAATATCATATGTCACATCAAAAATTTTACACTCAATTCAAAACTCTTTCACCAAATAAATTTTCTACACTCAAATCATAATTCCAAAATTCACAAATTCAAAATACAACTCCTACTCATATTTAAAAAGTTCTACCAAACGCAACCTAAATCTCTGTGAAAATATTATGGAAAGTTTTTATTGCTTTTACTTTCCAAGAGCACATCTGAAGAAAGCATTATGGAGATGAACAGTTCATGTAAATATTTCTGACATATGTTAATGAGCATTGTTTATGTTTGTCAAGCTCTTCAATCTTCGAATGCGTGAGAAGGAAAGACTGATAGGAGTGGTGATATAGGGATGCATTATCTAAATGAAGCTATAGTAGCCTTGATTGAAGATGCCTCAACTTCGGTGGTAGTTGGATTTGAAGTTTCATAGAACTTGAGCTAATTAAGTGTTTGAAAACCGATAAGGTTTGATGACAGATTAATCTAACCTACTGCTTACCTATCAAAGCAAACGCTACACCAAGATATACTATTTTGTGAAAATTCTGCTTCAAGTGTCTGATGTAGTTAATTACCCGATTTAAGTCCCATCGTGGTAGCCTAGAAAAATGTTGGTTTGTGGTATTTTGAGAGGATGAGTGCATGCAATATGGCTTTTGATGGACTATAATAGGCAGAATGGGTTTATGTTCACAACCTCAAACATAAGAGATAAGGAGAGTGGTAGCAATATGTTTAACAATAATAACTACTTAAATCTCATAAATCAAGGGCAGAAAAGACCTAAACTGACATAGAATGTGATAGTAAAAAATGATATGGCTTTATTTAATTGAACTTAGCATATAGCCCTTGACAGAGTATAATGGCGAAAAAGGATTCATGTAGCCGGGATCATTTGATTGGGACACAAGTCTTAGTTTGGTTTGGTACTCGGTAGTCTTTTGCGGTAACTTGGGCTTGATATTATCTGTTGCTTGAGTTATGGTATTAATATTTTCAATTATGCCCCCTAAAATAGCATTAACCAAACTTCAACTGTCTGGATTCTTGATTCTTGAACCATAACGAGTTGTTTGTTCTCCTAGAAGAGCCATTATGGGCGTCCATAATTAGACCAATTGTTAATAAACCTGTCTGGGATTTGTGTGTGTGGATTATGTGGATGATACAACCTTCATCTTTTTCTTCTTTCTTTTTCATTTTATTTTATTTTTTTTTGGTTTTGTTTTTCCTGTATTCCGTTGAAAACCTGCCAAGTCCTTTAGAAGTTGGTTTTCTAGTGCTCTTCAATTCCTTCTGGTGTTGGGGTCCTTTTTTCAGGTTCATGTGCATTGCCTTCTATGGCTACGACCACAAACTTTTTATGAAATGACCAAACAGAAGTGTGTTCTGCTCCATACTTGTATTCTAGACTCATTCTTCATTTTGCTTTCTCTTAACCTAATGCCTACCTATTGCCTTGTTAATTTTCTAATGAAGCGGAGGACTAGAACTTCTCTGTGATTCTGTCAAGATCCATAACGTCAATGTTGATGCACAAGATGGAGAAGACCAGGTAAATCTCTTCCATTACTAGCATACTAGGTGCAGCATAAATTGAGTGTTTTTTCCCCCTTTTATGATTGTTCGACTATTATTCTGTTGCATATTCCTCTCAGTTAACCATGAAAGACTTGCTTGCTTGGCTTCGTACCAATTTGATCAAGGAGAGACCTGAAATGTTCATGAAAGAAGATTCTGTGTGAGTAGGACTATACTTGTAATATTTGAATTTGGTGGTGTTGTCATGATGGTGCTTTGATCATGCCTCCTACTATTTTGTAATGTTTAGAAATTCCAATATTAGGGGTGATTGGCAGCTTGAGACCAAACACAAAAAATGTCTTCTTTATCCGATGAAACAATGCATTGTCCTTCAATTTCCTCATAATGGCCATGTTTCTGATACACGGTTTGGAGAGGGGTTTGGGATTGGTAATACTGTGGGCCCCACATGAGCATCACATGTATTTTTGTTGTCCCCTAATAACGCGTTTGATTTGTAAAATTTGGTATCGCCACCCAATTTTATTGCTAATCCCATGGCCGTGGGGTTTAGCCGTATCATCTCATCCAATGGTCAAAATAATCCTTCCCCTCTTATATGACTGCATCCCTAATTTTACACTAATCCCAACCTTTATCCCATAGTATGAAATCTAGTCCGCATATCAAACATGGCTAATGAGTTAACTTTGGTTAATCAAATGTTCCCTGTGCAGGAGACCTGGTGTTCTGGTCCTAGTGAATGATTGTGATTGGGAACTTAGTGGGCAACTTGATACAACACTAGAAGATGAAGATATGGTGGTTTTCATTTCAACCTTGCATGGTGGATAGTCTCAAATGTTGTATGTTGTCTTCTTGATTGGTATTGTACTTAATGATCGAGATTATTGTGGTTTAACACAAACAAGCTTGTTTGCTAATTCGTCCTTTAGCAATGTTATATTGAAAAGAAAGGGCATGTTTGGCTGTTTCTCAGCCTAGTATTTATGGGTTTTTGTAATTCATAACAAAGTGTATGATATTGCTTGTGCTTGGTGAATATCACTTTATGTAAATATTACCAAATATTAGCTCTATATCGAAATTACTAACTTGGTTTTTTAAAGTGATAATTTCATAAAGAGATTAATTTCATTCATAAAGAGCTTACAAAAGAGTGGTTAGCCAATTTATTTTTTATAGAAATTAAAAAAAGAAAAAAGAAAATTGAAGAAAAGAAGAGTGGTTAGCCAAATTTTTATAGATATAAAAGAAAAAGCAAACAAGAGATGTTGAGAGTGAGATTTATCCCAAAAAAAAAAAAAGAAAAGGAAGAAGAAAAAGATAAGAAATTGAAAATAAAAAAGAAAAAGAGTGGTTAGCAAAATGATTATATAGAAATGAAAGAGTTAAAAAAAAAAAAAAAAAAAAAGGAAAAAAGGAAAAAAAAAAAAAAAAAAAAAAAAAAACCTAACTATGATTGGCCGATGATGGGGCCTTTTAATTGGGCCCCTTTCTCATATTGGGCTAGCTTTGTTGAGGTTTATGGTTAGTGGGTCAAACCCACATGTATTCCTTCCTCCCAAATGGTTGGACTTTAGAGATTCCACAAAATGCCAGCTTGTCCAAATGGAACACCTTAATGAGGATAGGTCTGTCTTCATAGGATACCTCCCCTCTTCCCCCTTTTTTCTGTATATTTATGCACAGCGGGTCTAAAGGCACAGAAAACAAAAAGAGGAAAATGAAATTACCGGTCTAGGGATGAAGAAACCCGAGAAAAGATTGAAGAGTGCATAGAAAGCGGCTGCCAAAACAGATGCTACTTGGTGGTTTGGTGTGATGGAAACAGTCATCATTCCATAGTATGTGAAGTAGAGAAAAGAGGCATAGGTGACGAAGAAGAACCAAAAGAATTTATGCACTGCCCATTCGAAGCCCACCATAGAATACACTATAGGACTAAAAAGGATGGTTTGAACAAGCACGTATGGTAATTCAGTGATTACCTGCATATCAGATAACAATTAACTCTGTGATTAGGATTGAAGAAAATTGTAAATATAGATCCATACCCAAGCTCAGGTAGCCATTTGATGTATGGTGCTCATGCACAAAATTTTCAATCTAATGTGAAGAAATAGCAATCAAATATCTAAGAAACAAGAATTCCCCACCCTAATTTAAAAGAAGTGAACTCAGAGATGAAAAGATAGAATGCAAGCTTCACAATCTGTATTTTCAATCTCTCATTTGATGTTAAATTTGAAAATTCTCACCTGTGCCAAGGCATATGGTAATGCAGAATACATCCCAGCAGCTTTTTCTCTATAAAATACGGTTCTTTCAATAGCTACTACTGGTTGTACTGTCCCGCAGTTATTAATTCCAACAAACAGGACAGCAGCATACATTGCCCCTATGATCGTGGTCAAATCACCCGTGTTATCCCTGAATCAAATAAATTATAGACGAGGAATTAGCGATAACTTTTGAGTCTTGTTACCAATGGACTGAGAGATGGAGTTTGAATTTTGTAAGAATTAGATGGATACCTTTTTTTGCCAGCCTGCCAGAAAACTGTTCCAACCATAAGGGCAGCAGCTAAGGTGAAGAACATCCTCACGATGTTGTAATCGGGGCTTCTCCAATAAGTCAACCACTGCTTCCATAGGCAGGATTGGAATTGCCCCAAATTGTGCTGAGAAAATTGTGATGTGAAATAGAGGTCTTTTGCCCCTGGTGGAGGTACACTCAACTCTTTCACTAGAGCCTTGTTTCGTCTGTTTTTGCCCATGTATTAGTTTGAACCCTATTGATTTTAAAACCAATAAAACACTTTCATTGCTATAACTAAACTTTTCACTTACTGATGCAAGGATGATGATTTGTAGTGTTCGGCAAAATCAATTCCAAGCCGGACTTCTGCAGCAACTGAGCTCGCTTCTAGCATCCATGTTGCTGGATTGTATTTTTCTTTAATTTTGGGAATTCCAGGAATTGCCTGAAACAAGTATAAATAGTTGAATTATTTGTATTTGTCTTTTTATATGTTAAAAAAAGAAAATAAATAGTTCAAGAATGTGAAATACCTCAAAATATTCAATGATCTTATGAGAATTCCGTCCCAGTGGTCCTGAGTAGATCACTTGTCCTCCCCTTTTCATCAGTAGCAGCTGATGCACAATATAATATGATGTATTTAGAGAGATAGATAATATAGATGTACTTGGAGAGCAAGAAAGAGAGAGCATGTGTTATTACCTCATCAAATGCTTCAAAGATATCAATACTAGGTTGATGGATTGTGCAAACAACAGTTCGCCCTGTATCCACTGTGTTTCTCACAGTTCTCATAACAATAGCTGCTGCTCTTGCATCAAGACCAGAAGTTGGTTCATCCATGAATATGATTGATGGATTAGCAACTAGCTCCACCGCTATTGTCAATCTCTTTCTCTGTTCTGTTGATAGACCTGTAACTCCTGGAAGCCCTACAATGGCATCTTTGAGGTTGTCTAGTTCAACTAGATCCATCACTTCATCCACAAAAACCTAAAAAGGAAATACAGAAACAAACCATCTTAGTACTTGACCTTATACTTCTTAAAATCTTTTCATAAAAAAGGCAATATGAATGATAGTTGTTACCATCTTTTCCTCCTTGCTGACTTCCTTAGGGAGTCGAAGAAAAGCTGAGTAAATCAAAGATTCACGAATGGTGACTTGTGGTGAGTGGATGTCGGTTTGCTCACAGTATCCAGAAATTCTAGCGAATGTTTCTTGAATCTTGGGGAATCCAGAAATTCTGATATCACCTTCGATGTAACCACCTGTTTTCCTTCCCGCTAGAACATCCATGAGTGTAGTTTTTCCAGCCCCACTGACTCCCATCAGGGCAGTCAAGACACCGGGCCTAAATGCACCGGTTACTTCGCGAAGTAATTGGAGCCTGTCTTCGGTTACTCCTTGTTCCTTCATCTCCTATTGATATCAACACAATTTGTTTTACTAATTGGATTTTAATTTGAGTTTCTAAAAATTCATTTGAAAGCGATCTTCTTTAGTCATACTAGAATGCGACAAATGATTGTGTAGTAGTGGCATTTGAGCTAAACTAAGAGTGAAAGAGGAAAAAGGTATACTTACTGGTGGCATATCCACAAAGTATTTTACGCTGTCAAAGGACGTGGTGAGGGGAGTGAAGGGAAGAACCATTCCTCTCTTGGGAGCAACTCCACGTGCAGTGTCAAGACTTGAATCTTCATTGTTGATTAATTTTATTCATTCATTTTGGCCATCGTTGCTAAAAATTCCTTCTTTCTTAGTTGAGTTCCTTACACCTATTGTGAAGGTATGTACTCCCTGTCCAATCTTACTTTCATTACACCTTCTTTGATTACACCTATTGTGACCTTTGGCTTTGCATGTTTTTTGTCTGGGTTTGAAGCAATTGTGATTAGTGTGTTATGATAGAAAAAGAGGAGACTTTCACTTACCTTCTCTGTGGTTTGGCAATTAGGCAAAAAACCCCTAAGGTTTGAGAAACCTACAATTACCATGATGGAAAGCTAATGGACCAATGGCAAAATGGTAAAAATATATGAAATAAAAAGAGAATAGAAAAAATATATGGTCTACGGTTGACAATTTCTAGTTTATGGTGGCTTGTGATGTTACGTAGTTGATGGTTGACAATTTTCTAGTCTTTGGTGCATGTATGTTTGGTATCATATGGTATATTTATAAGGTGGTAAGTGTTGTCCTTTTTTTTTTATAAAAATTGTTCTGTAACATTGAATAAGCATGTATGTCAAATATTACATCACAAAAATAAGAGCGGAATTAGGAGAAATGGGAAATTTATATATGGTTGGTTTTGCCTCACATTTACAATAAAAAATATTCTCATCATTGGCCTTATAGGCCAAGTGGTACCTGGGTGTTCTCCCAACCTTGATGTTTCGGGGCTCGGATGCTCAAGTTTCTTTCCTGTCTTGATTAGCCTAGAAAATGGGCAGGATCCTGTATTATTGATTATTTAGTTTATTAAAATTAGAAAAAAAATTATGATAAAAGGGGCCATGAAAATGATGCATTTGGAAATATTTTTGGAGTTTTTTGGGAGTCATATCACCTCATTCAAGAGCTGCTGATATTCCTGATAAATGTCAAGTTGCAGGCCATTAGGAGTCCAATTTGTTATTGGTATTTAAAATTATCGTCTTCTTACTTTGTGGTTTTTTGTGTCTTTATTTTTTTGTTGGTTGTATGGTTGGGCTTGTCTCTTTAATTAACACTAACTAATCCTTGGTATGCTGCTTATGCATGAAACTTCTATTTTGTTGGAGAGAGAGATTTTGTAAATCTTTCTTTCATTTGAATTCAGCTGCACTACATCTTTGATTTGTTCTACAATTCAGGGCAAGCAAAAACAAAATAATCGCAAGGTGAAGGATAAAGGAAGGGATGACAAGTCAGGTGTTGCAATCCAAGACATCCTCCAAGAAGAAAGCCTTGCTGATGAAAGAAAATATTTCACGATCGAGGATGCAGAACTCGTGCTTGAAAATTCTGATGTGTCTGATCCAGTAGATTGTCTTCCTGAAATGCAGCCTGATTCAGAAGACAGAGATACGGACACATCAGAAGTTAATGATGTGACTTGTGAATGAAAACTTAGAATAGTTGTATTGTGTCGAATGTTAATGAATTATGTATTGTGTCGAATGTTAATGATTTAGTTAATTTGAATGATGCTTTAAAATTATAGGTTTATTATGGATTGAATGAATTATTAGGAATTACAGGTGTATTGTTTTCCTGCTTTGGCGACTAATTTATTAGTCGCGACATCCAAAATAATTTTTTTCCACAAAAAATGACAATTGCCGACCAAGAGTTTTGGTCGCAAAAAATACATATATTGCCGACCAAAACAGCTCTTGGTCGTGGAATCTCACTTTTGCCGACCAAAAGTTATGGTCGCGAAAAGACACAAATGACGACTAATTTTTTTGGTCGCGAAATGTGATAATTGGCGACTAAAAAATTTGGTCGCGAAATGTAATAATTGGCGACCAAAATTTTTGGTCGCGAAATGTGACAATTGGCGACTAAGAAATTTGGTCGGGAAAATATCACTTTTCGCGACCAAAGTGTTTTGGCGACAAAATAAATTAGTCGCGGTAATTAAATATTTAGCGACCAAAAATTTAGTCGGCAAAATCCAACTTTTGCCGACCAACTACAATTTTGGTCGCGAATTACTTTTGCCGACCCTCAATTGGCGACCAAAGTAGCGACCAAAAAAATTGGTCGCGGATAACTTTTGCCGACCAAAAATAGACTTTTAGCGACTAATTTTTTTGTTGTCAAAAGTGTTAATTCTTATAGTGTGGATAGTCTCAAATGTTGTATGTTGTCTTGTTGATTGGTATTGTACTTACTAATCGAGATTATTGTGGTTTAACACAAACAAGCTTGTTTGCTAATTCGTCCTTTAGCAATGTTACATTGAAAAGAAAAGGCATGTTTGGCTGTTTCTCAGCCTAGTATTTATGGGTTTTTGTAATTCATAACAAAGTGTATGATATTGCTTGTGCTTGGTGAATATCACTTTATGTAAAATATTACCAAATATTAGCTCTATATCGACATTACTAATTTGATTTTTTAAAGTGATAATTTCATAAAGAGCTTACAAAAGAGATTAATTTCATTCATAAAGAGCTTACAAAAGAGTGGTTAGCCAATTTTTTTTTTATAGAAATTAAAAAAAGAAAAAAGAAAATAGAAGAAAAGAAGAGTGGTTAGCCAAATTTTTATAGATACAAAAGAAAAAGCAAACAAGAGATGTTGAGAGTGAGACTTATCCAAAAAAATAAAATAAATAAAGGAAGAAGAAAAAGATAAGAAATTGAAAATAAAAAAGAAAAAGAGTGGTTAGCAAAATGTTTATATAGAAATGAAAGAGTAAAAAATTGATGTTGAGAGTGGGATTTGAACCCACGCCCTTTCGGACCAGAACCTTAATCTGGCGCCTTAGACCAACTCGGCCATCTCAACTTTGATGATTGAGTGTGTTAAATGTATATATAAATTAGTTTACATACGAATATATAGTCAAGTCCATTTGTCCAATAAAAGACTAATATGGTATGTGAATATTTACTCCAATTTGGCCGAGGGATACTTTATCGTTGATCATCCCGACCCAAAAGAAAGAAGGATTCAAAAACAGATTATGGACCACTCTCTTCAATACGAAAAGGGTTATTCAAATTATTTTATTGAAAAATTTCTACACTATTGAGAATTTTTTAAAATAACTAGCTGCTATTTTAATGATTGAAATGCTAATCGGCATTGCCTAAGTCATGTTTGGCTCTGCTCGCACGTTTCTCTCCACCCGTTGAGTCAATGATAGACCAAACACATGTTAACACAAGCCTGAGTAATTTTTTACATGACTAAAATTTAATTTTACAAAAATTAAATATAAAATAATACGTAGTTGTTTTTAAGAAAAATTAGTATAGATGATCCAAATTCATCTCAACACACCAGTCATGTTTGTTTTGGGGGGACTAAATTAGGAAATAGGAGATACATAATATGGTTGGTTTTATACGTTGTTTTTAGTATCATGGAATTGCTAGATGAGAGTTAGTGTGAGATTAATAAGATAAGATTTGAACAATTATTTCTTACCACTAGATGGAGGGAAGATAATCCAAAAGAAAAGACTGTCTTGGGAGGATGGGATTTAATAGCCTCCTTATGAATATAGCTGTATTTTCCAAGGCAAGGTTGGACCAAAATCAACAGATATTGATGCCGCAAGAGCGAAACTAAAACCATTGTGTGCCACCCTGCTACCAGACTAGCAATCTGACCAAACAACCATGAATCCCAAACACATGTTCCCTAGTCCAATCCCATTCTAGTCCGGCCAATCGAAAATACCAAAAGTAGTTCCATTTTAATAGTTTTGCCCCTGGGAAGTAGACAGCTGCAATAGCACAATTCTGGGTTAACATTCATACACAATTATTAGCTTCACATCTTGGCTTGGCCTTCACATCTCAACATAGGAAGATGCTGAATTTCTACAAGTTCCAAACTCAAATCAGCCATTGTTTCCACAGATGTTTGACATAACAAGAAGCCATCTCACACAATCACTGAATAAATATAGAAAGAGATCTCATCAATTGAAATCCCTATAATGCCCTCGTCTTTAGTACTACTATGTATTAGAAAAAACGGTTCTGCTACTCCATATTTGAGTCAAAATTTATCAGGACAGAGTTATTGCTGAATTTTGAAGGCGGCGATTGCTCATACTTAAAAAAAGCATCTGAAATAGACCATGCTTGTACGACCAATAAATTTCATTTATTTGTGACATCACTTTGATATTAACAAATACATGATAATTATCAATTACCTGAAATTCAACGAAAAGGCAAAAGGTTTTCATGAATGAGAATACAACTCTCCAAACAGAGATGGAGCAGAAAATAAATAATTGACTTCTCTGGCAGTCTATTGGAAACAAAAACACCTACCTGTTGGGGGGATTAATATTAAAGTATAAAAAATAAAAATAAAAAGGACAAGGAAGAAAAAGACTACAATGGCCATTCAGGGTATAGTTGGACCTTTTCTTTTATTTCTTGTATCAGACTTTTTGCTTTCCTTTTCTTAGTCTTTCTAGCTCTGCTTCAGCTTCTGTCAACTGTTCCCTCAGCGATGATACTCTTCTCTCCACCTCTTCCACTGTGTCTTCGTTGACAGAAGGTTGATATGGTGACAGAAAATGACGTGAAAATGATTTCAAAGCGTCTACACCGCAAACCTATGAAATCCACATTTGTGATTAGAGGGCTTATTAAATAAAAAGCAGAAAAAATTCCTAAAACTATAAAGGGTAACAGACTTGGAATCCCTTGGCACCTAGATTATATATTCATATACGAGTATGTCATGAAAAAGTGTAATTTATTCACAATATAACAAAACTAAAATATTCACGATGTTTGTGGTCAATACAAATTCACAAATTATTAATTTTTTGTTTTGTTTTTGACAGGTATAAATTTTCATTTAGGCTCAAAGAAAAATTGGTAGAAAATGAAAGTGAAAGAAAAGAAATAGAAAAGAAAACATATTTTCTTGCAAGCATGTGATTAAGACAAAAAATTTACAAGAAAAAGATAGAGAATTCAAGATTTTAGTTATAGATAACTCCTTATATAGATACATCTAAATTTTCTTGTGTTTTCTTGTTTTTTTTGCAGGAAATTAAAATTTTAGTTAAAATGCTAACATGGGTTATACAAAAAAATTAATTTTCTTCTACTTTCCACCACTTTCATGATAAACAAACTCACAAAAAATTATATTTTTTCTCTTTCCATTTACTCCAATTTCCCTCCCTTTTATCCAAAACAAACTCGGCAAACTCAGGCTTAAGCATATTGCATCCATTTTATCACTAAAAGTTTAAAAATTATAAATGATAACGGACTCAATATGTTTAAATTAAAAACTATAAACTTTAGAAGAGCAATGTATGACTACAGAAGAGTAATGCTACAATAACCACATCTGGTTTACCATCTCATATGTCAAAATTGTATTGGTTGAATAGGTCCTACCTTATCACCAATACGGTAGTGACACATCACATGGTAAATCAAATGTGGTATATGTGGCATTATTGGACTAAAGAATCTTGACTTTGTAGTTTACCTCTTCTGGCAGCAATGGCAGCTTAGTAATGTGAAAATCATCATACAACATGTAAAATTGATCGAGGTACTTTTGTTGCATCCGCATTCTAGCTTTGAGCAACTTAGATTCAACACCTATAATAAGAAGGAAAACCGGCGAAACATTAACTTCCCTTTTCAAGCGAGGATATCAAAGGAAGTACTCATATTTCAACAAGGTAAATATACCTTCTTCATCATAGAGCACTTGGTTGATAATGATATTGTGAGTATCTATCTCAAATTTTGTGAGTTCCTGCACCAGTCTCTCTGTTTCGTAGAGAGAGAGGAACTCTGGAATGCAAACACAAACAAAGGTTGTCAAGTCCTGTCAACAGGAAACGTGGGGGATTAAAAAATAAAATAAAAGTTGTGGAGTATAAGAAAGATTAAATATTTGCCTGCCTACAAACATTACATTAATATAGATAATGGAAATGTTGAACACTCTGATGATAATATGATGGATTGTAAATTATATAGTCACAAAAGACAATTCAGGAAAACTTACCAGCTCATGTCTTCAAAAGCCAACACTAAATAAGCTCAAATTTTTAATGAAAACAAAAGAAAAACGCAAAAAGTGAGAAGACCAGATATTTATGTTGATTTAGCTAAAAAATTACTCATAGATCTTCCTGCCTAAAAAACTAAGCAATTAATGATTACTAATTTCAAATTTCCTAATAAATTAGTTTTTTGATAACTCAGTGTCCGGCCCTTTGGACTGACTAATCCGGGGGACCAATCCCACTGTCCACTTGCGGGGGTCCCGATTAAAGCCAGGGCAAAGCCTTGTATGGACATGGCCCCAAGAGATCGTTTGCACCTAGGAGGTTTTGAACTTGAGACCTTGGAGGAAACACACCCCCAATCCCCAAGCCCCAAGCCCCAAGCCCTGACTATCAGACCAACCCCTCGAGGTTTCCTAACAAACTTATGTACTTCCATATTCTACAATATGAAAGTCCAACAATAATGCAATCAGCTAAAAAGCTTCCCAAACAGAAAGCCAATCACACCCTGAAGGCTCCAACTTTGATGTTGTTACACCATCTAAATGGTTCCCAAGCATAAAGCTAGTTATATAGTTCAAAAAATTAAAAAAATAAAATAAAAGAGACAGAAAGATTAAAAAAAGGGCAAAAAACAAAAAGGAATAAATATCACAAGAACATGACTGAAGATGAGAAACAATTCGCAATCATGTCTAAAATTGAGCTCACAAGGGTCTGCCAAAAGTGAGCACCTTGACAGTAGTAGGGGCATATAGAGGTTGCAAAGTGCACTTCCTAAGAAGTGCATGTAGGAGCAAGAAGACCCTCTCTCTATCCGCCGTATCATCAAACATATTAAATTTTTTGTATGGGAAAGAGCTTTGTGGTAAGTACCTCATAGAAAGGTCTATGACAATAAATTAGCATTTGACAAACCAACAGATTTGGTGCTTTAAATCAAAATTTCTTCCACTTTTATTTTACAAGTTTTTGAGCAAATACTAACACTCAAATTTATAACCCTGTAACATTGTGTATCTACAATCAAAATCACATTAGCTAAATTTAAGAGGTTTTCCACAGAATCCATACTCTGGTTTTACCAGAAGTGGTCATTATCCAACAGGTAACAACAAATGATAAACATAACAGTATCCATTCTAATCAAAGAACGACTTGAATATAAGACCTTACTGGATCCTTGAACTGCATGTTTACTTGCTCAATCAACTCCTTCATGCCCTCAAGCTTTCCCAGAATTGCATCCTCGCCAAATTCATCACCAACACCGAAAAGACGAGTCATCTACCATTAACAGTTATTAAATCTAGTCAGTTGCACGATCATGTTGCAAACAAAAAGCTAAAATTAGTAGTCTTAAGAAAACAGTTAGAAGTTTACAAGAAAAGCACATCTAATAAAATTGAATTTTAACACGTCAGTAAATGTCAAATCTCACAGGAAAAATCATAGAGATTGATATATGCTCTCAGATGATCCATATGTACCAAAAGTAATGCAAATTTTGACTAAATACAGGCAGCACCACAATGTCATCCGTGTGTCCATATCTAAAAGTGAGTATTGTTGTCCCCCTCCCTAAGCCACAACTGGCTTGTTGACTACAACTAATTGCTACCTTTTTTGCAGTCTTGTCAAACTTTCCTTAACTCGCATGTCCATCCTTCTCCAACTGAGAAGACGTAGTTCATAACATGCCCAATGCTCATAGGCAAATCACCACATTGGTAAAATCATAGCGGGGATAGGAGAGTTAACAAATACAAAGGAGATTTAGGCCTCGTTTGGCAAGAGACTATTTTAGCCAATTAGCCAAAAAGTTACTAAATTAGTCAAAAAGCCAACAACCTATACCAAAAAGTCAAAGATTCTCTTTTCTCTCTACTTTTTGCACATCTTTTCGTAATTAGCCAAAAAGTCATTCCAAACATACAAGTTTTTTTTACCTACCTTTTTAGCCAAATAGCCAAAAAGTGACTAAATTAGCCTGTTCCCAAACGAGGCCTTAGTCTGGTATTGCCAGTTCTTGTAAGGATCTTTAACCCTTGGTTGCATGGGTATTTCAAGGTTGGCAAAGAACACCACTAAAGAAAAATGAAAAAACACCCTTCAGTGTAAGACTGAAGTCTTTTTTTCCTACACAATGTACATCAAGTTTATCGACACTGATCATTAAAATTGGGGGAAAAAAAACTAGATAAGAAACAACAGCACTTCAGGTATATGGGGTGGCACCCCTTGGTGCCTTCTAATATAAATTTTTACTTACCAAAAACGAAAAAAAAAAAAAAACAAAACAAAACAAAACCAAAACAACCGTACTTCAGCCAAATATGTTATAACCTTGCAAAACAAAACAAAACAAAACGCACTTCAGGTATATGGGGTGGCACCCCTTGGTGCCTTCTAATATAAATTTTTACTTACCAAAAACGAAAAAAAAAAAAAAACAAAACAAAACAAAACCAAAACAACCGTACTTCAGCCAAATATGTTATAACCTTGCAATACCTGACTTATTAAGCCACCAAATTTATTCTTCAAACTCATCATTTTGACAAGCCCCTTCTCCAATGTTGATGGAAATTGCAATAGACGTAGAGTATGTCCAGTAGGAGCTGTATCAAATACTATAACAGAATAATCCATTGTTTGGACTAATCTGCAGCAAAAAGCTAAAGGATTATAATTACAAATTAAAAAAAAAAGATTGACTATTAACATGCAAGTGAACAATTTATATTGTGAAAACCATGCACAAAAACTTTTTTAGAGTTTCGTAGGAAACGGAATAATGTATGTGCACAATTGATACCAAACTAACCATTATTTGTATCTGAATAGAATTGAATATCAACAAACCTAGAGTATTTGGGGTTTGGTTATATTTTTGCACCTTTTTCTTGCTTCTTTTTTCTTTCTAGTTATTTGATTGTATTGAAGGGTGGTGCCTCTCAGGATGTTCTCTAATACATCCTATTTTCGTTGTTGATTACCCCAAAAAAAGAAGAAGAAGAAGAAGAAGAAGAAGAAGAAGAAGTTATAAAGACAATATTTATCAAAAAAAAAAAAGAAGTTATAAAGACAATCATCAAACATATTAAATTTTTTGTATACAAACTAGCTGCCCATTCAATCCAGATCTAAATATGAAACAAATGATTGAGACCTGAGAGATTTGCTGTTTATAGAGCTACCAAATCAAATGAAACATGGTTACTTACTTGAGCATCTCCGCAAAGCTCATAGCCTCGTCAATTCCAGGAATTGCATTAGCTAGATCGGACAAAAAACCATCCATTCCATCTGTGCCAAGAGCCTCTTCATTCTCCATGTTTGGATCTACCTCCTATAGGAACCAAACAAACTATAAAAAATTAGGCTACATGACATCAAACCAGAGTATCAAAATTCATAAGATCAAGTCAAATCAAAGTCTAGATAATTGGATAATTATCAGGTATTTGATGAAGCATCACATGGCCAAGAATCATAACAACCATGTGATCCAATCTTCTCTTAAATAGAAATCAGAGGCTCAGATACAACTTTAGGTAAGGAATAAATCCAGCGAATGTCATGTAAACATAATTCATAAACAGAGTGAACAATGGTGGAATTCCACAAACTTTTTTATTTTATTTTATTTTTATTTTTATAATCAGGTATCCTGGTAAACCTAATTCATAAACAGAGTAAAGAATGGTTGAACTCCACAACTTTTTATTATTTTATTTTTTTATAATCGGGTATCTGGGTAAACCCAACTAATCCACAGCTTGAGTTAATACGACTGCATCTTATTCCTCTTTCTAAATAAAAATGGAAACCCAGATCAGTGAACCTTAGGTAATTTAAGCACATGGATATCTAGTACACACATATCTGAGCTCACACAAATATAAATCAACAAATGAGCACCAATACAGGAGGGAAGAGAGACAACAAGAAGACACCAAAATGGGGAATTACGCAATGAGCTGTGCATTCCAAACATACACTAAAAATAAACTTTACATTGCACAAACCCCATGTAACAACAATCAAATCAGTAATTAAGCACCAAATTTTCCATTTCAACAAAACACACACAAGACAATGCAGTATATCACCTAAATCATGAACTGGGTAGTGCCACAATTCATCAAGGACTCACAACTTACTCAAACAATTGAAAATAATTTCCACTTGAACAACAAAACACACACAAGACAATGCAATAAATCACCTAAATCACGAACTGGGTAGTGCCACAATTCATCAAAGACTCAAAATTTATTCAAAACATTGAAAACCCACAAAATTAATACAAAAAGAGAACCAAAGTAAGCCACGGAAAAAGCAAAAGCAAGAGAATCAAAGCGATACCATGGCGTACAAATTGGTAAAGCCGTTGATCAAAGTAGGGGATTTGGTGAAGCGTTGCTGAAACGCATCGCTGAGATTGTGAGCAGGGTCGGTGGAGATAATAAGAACAGAGGGGCGAACCCTAGAGAGGAGGATCGAGAGGATAGAGCTACAGGTGGTCTTGCCAACACCACCTTTGCCCCCAACGAAAACCCACTTGAGACTATCTTGGTCTAGTATGTTCTGTACCGTTCCCTCTGGTAATTCCTGATCCGAATCCATCTATGGACTCCTCTCTCTCTCTCTCTCTGAAATTTGGGAGCGTGAGTAGAGAGAGAAAGAGATTGAGATTTTAGCTTGGGGTGGGGAGGAATTGAGACAGAGTTCGAATCGAAGTCGATTGAGCGTTGTATGCCTTTGTGATGCAATTGCAAACACGAGAGAGCGAGAGCGAGAGAGAGAGAGACAGAGACTTCGAATTTTTTTTTGAGAGAGAAGGTGAGACGGTGTATGTAGCATTTTTTTTTTAATCTTATTTGTGTTATACTATTTTTTATTTAGATTATATTATTTTTTTATATATTATATATTTTTTTCATAAAAAATATTTAATTTTTACTTTTTTTTTATTATAATTATATTCTGAAATAGAATTACATTAATGGAATATTCACTCGTAAAAGCATTCTATAATATTGTAAACCACCTTCTCCACCTAAACATATTTTGCACCAATCTAAACTCAGTGTATTTCTCTTCATCATCATGTTAAATCATAAACCAGAAATCAATGACTGAAGTCTAAAATATCAATTTAAAAAAAAAAAAAAAAAAAAAAAAAAAAAAATCTGGAAATCAGCCGGACATCCGGGTGGACATCCGGGTGGTCAACCGGGTGGTCATCCGGGTGGTCTACCGGGTGGACAACCGGGTGGACAAAAAAGGCGCCTGTGCATCAGAGTTCTCTCTGCAGAATGTAGAAAATTGATTTGAAAACGAAACCAAACATCATGCTCCAACACAGGGGTAGAAAACTGATTACAGAGCACAACCAAACAGAGCCTTAATTTTTACTTTTTTTTTTATTATAATTATATTCTGAAATAGAATTACATTAATGGAATATTCACTCGTAAAAGCATTCTATAATATTGTAAACCCCCTTCTCCACCTAAACATATTTTGCACCAATCTAAACTCAGTGTATTTCTCTTCATCATCATGTTAAATCATAAACCAGAAATCAATGACTGAAGTCTAAAATTCAAGTCATTTCAAATCGTTGTCCTATTCATATCACATATCAATTATTTCACCATTTGTCGATACTTGTAGGGTAATGAAAGACGATGACAACAACTCTTATGAGATTAGCATTGTATTCGTTAGTTTATCTATATTGCATTAATAATTTTTGACCATTTTCGATGGTTGCTGATTTATTTGAGCTTGATCGGTACTAGTTTGCTGATTGTTAATATTTTGTTCGGTAACATAGTGTTGAACAAAAACATTTAGTTCGAAAGATGGGTTCTCAATAGTAATTGTTGGCTTTTTGGTTTTCGAAGGTTATTTTTGTAATTATGAGCGTGCCAGCAAGGATCAATCAGTCCTTACAGAATTGTAATTGCCAAACAATTATTCAAACGATTGTGTTATGGTTCTTTTAACCTCAATAAAGAGGACTTTTACTGGTGGCTTACTGGTAGTTTGACTTCAGAGAACTTGAGCATAAGAACAGTTAAATAAACTGAAGCATTTCATTAGTATAAAAAACTTACAATGATCTTAGCTCCGTAGAGATTTACAGCGGCAATATACTCGAAAACTACTCCTACAAATGAAGTGCAGCGCAGGAACTTAAAGTACAGAAATGTAAAGAACAGGAAATAAAACTGGAATATGTAAAGTAAGACTGGTTTTTTTTTGATTTCTTTCCGTCCCCTTCTCTGAAGTCCTTCCTGCTATTCATACTCTCCGAAGATAACCATCGAACTGTATTTCAAACCGTCGAACTGCTCCTCCGTGATCGCTGATCATGCTACCTTATAAGTAGTTCTACTACGCCTTCACTTGCAGTTAGGCTTCCCTCCTATATTCGAATTTGAATGTGAGCAACCGTTGAAGCCACGTCACCGTACATCTTTTTGTTGATCCGCTGCTACTCAGATCTTATAACAACCAATATTAACTGCCACGTGTATGATCAGGATCGAAAACCTGACTGGTCTCCCCATATTACCCTTACTTTGCCACGCGTCGAATTGTCACTGGCTAGCACAAAATATGTAGCCAACATTACCCCCCGCACTAATATGCCAAAGACTTGGTGATATTAGTGGATCAGGGTCCTTTTTCCCACGTCTTAGAACGTGCATGGGTTTTGCATCTTCCCAGAAATGCAACTGTCACTCACCACCTGTATTAATACTCTCGTTTTGATCCTTTAAGTATTTTCACTGTCTTAGTATTCGAACAGACTGATACATTTCATGGCCAAATTAATTCTTTCCTCTAGCGATGAAGCACACGAAGAGTCATATGTCGATGCTATTTCTCATCGAAAGCATGCATTTATTAGCGACCTTTACCCACCTTTCTATATTCAGGTCATGAATGCCTTTGCAAATTACCGACCTTTGGATTACGAACACATTACTCTTAATCCTTCGATTCAGAAAGCTACAAACATAGACATAAGAAGTTTTTCCTCTGACCTACTTTTACAGTTCGAACAAACTGCTCTCAAGCCTTTGATTCGGAAAATTGCAAATATGGACTTGAGAAACTCTTCTTCGCAAATTTCTGTATAGGACAAAGCTGCAACTTCTTCCTCTTCTGGGGGTTCTGACTAGACAAGCTGGTCAATACCTGAGACCTGTGATTTGAAGGAGCGAATCAACCATCATTTTGTTGAGTTCACTGACCCTTTAGAGTTTCCTTCCTATGCTCGAAGTTCAGTTGTTTACCCCTATGTGCCCATTGACCATCGACGTAGTCTGGAGGAGAATCTTCTTGTAGCATGGTATACATCCTTCATGCCTACAAAGATAGTGCACGCTGCCCCCCGCCCAGAAGAAGCACAAGGGTATAACCCATCATTCTTAGCCCAGAAGGCGAAGATCTGTTCTTCTGACTGGCTTGATTATATTAATGCCTTTGTTCTTCCTGCTCCCGTGTCATCTCCGAAAATAGAAGCGTCCACACCTTCTTCTTCATCTCCCGAAATTGAAGTATTCATACCTTCTCCCCTACCAATTCTTTCCAGGACAGAGAAACTGAAGCTTGCCCTATCCATGGAAAATGTCTTCCCACCTTATAAACCTCTACCTTTTCTTACTCCAGCTAAGCGGAAACAAGCTCAACTTCTGCTTGCAGCTTTCTCTCATTTGCCTTTTAATGTTCTTGAGGACGAAGTCCCTCTCAAGAACTTTCGATGGGCTTGTGATATTCTGACTAGGGGCCATGTCCTTAATCCCCTTGCTCAGGCAGAACTTCATATGTTTCTGGACCAACTTCCATTGCTCCTTTACTGGCATCGAAATTCTGTGGCTACTACACAATCTTTAGACCAACTTTCGTCTCTTCGAATTCATGCTCAGTACGAAGCAGAGAACTTCATTGAAGAATTCGGTGATTTCAAGAATAAAGATTCTGCGTATTGGGATGACTTAGACATTGACGAATTGGAACAAGGATTAAGAGAGGTGGCCTTCGAAATAAAGGCTGAAGAGCTCTACTATGAAGTGAGAGCACATCAACTTATGCAGCCAATGCTAGAAAATTTGGAAGATAGAATAAGGAAAGAACAAAAGTTCATTGATCATTGTTGGACCAAATTTCATGATCTTGTTATTTATTCCATTCCTTATTTTTATGAGCTCGAGTTCATACCGAGATAGGGTCAGCTGATGTAATCAATCTGATCTTAATATAAACAAAATTTGTCTTTGTTTGACTCT